GGGGGGGGGGACATGGCAATTGCGGAGAGGCTGTGAGGAGCCCGCGAAGGGCGGCACGGCGGTAGCGGAGGGAGGCTGGGAGGGCACTGAGGGCGAAGGCGAGGGGACGAAGGAGACCCGGGCAGGCCGCCGCGGTGCTGGCGGAGCAGCTGCCACGCGTCCTCCCTTCCCGCCCGTGGCCGCCGGGGAAGGACAGCCGAGCTCAGCCAGCAGAGCCGCCCGGCCGCACTCACCCGAAGGCTGTCTTCGGCGGCCACACACGCAATGAGGTCGTCGAAGCTGGTGGTCCCCACAGTCACAAACGCGCTCTTCATCGCGCGGGCTCCCGCGTCCGAATTGGTGAGCGGATGTGACGTCGGCCGTTCACGCCGACGCCACAGGGCGGGCGGAGGGAGGCGGAAGTCCATCGGGCCAGTAGGTGGTGTGGCTCCGCTTGGGTGGGCTGGGGAAGTCAAGTAGGCGGGGCGTTCCCTCCTTGCCGCCGGCGATCTGGAGGAGTCTGGCCCACATCCTGAGCGCCCGCTACCTCCCGGCAGAGCCATCTAAATGGTTTACACGTTTGCAGATAACACCCTTACGATCTATCAAACGGGGGTGGGAACTTGCCAAGTGGAATTGGGGTCTACTGAGAAAAAGACAAAAACCCGAACACCTAACTAAACATTGTGCTGAAGGCATTGTTTTGAGTACCACAAATCTTTCCATGATAGGACTGAGATTTTCGTGTAATACGTCCACTGCTCTTTGTTCATGCCTGCCCTTTGCATTTAGGAAAGAACAGCTTTTCTCAGGCAAACCTTACCGTATCTTTGAGGTGCACTTTTAGTCCTGGCAAAATAGCTCATAAGAGGCAAAAGGATTGTTGGGAACTCCAAGTCAGCATGGGATATATAGTGAGATCCTGCCTCTAAATAAATAAATAAAAATAAAGCGCGTACTTTTAAGACTGTAATAAACATCAGGTGGTGGTGGTTCATCCCCATTATCCCAGCACTTGGGAAGCTGAGGCAGAAGGATCAGGATTTCCAGGTCAGCCTGGGCTTCATGAGGCCCTGTTTCCAAAACCAAGTAGACCCATCAAAAATCTCCCTCATTCTAAATTTGGTATGTGCACAACTAAAGTGATTACCAAAACCCATCCTTAATCAATAAATTCCCTTTGGCTCAAAAGAGAAACATGTCGGGCGGTGGCGGCGCACGCCTTTTATTCCAGCACTCGGGAGGCAGAGGCAGGCGGATTTCTGTGAGTTCGAGGCCAGCCTAGGCTACAGAATGAGATCCAGGAAAGGCTCCAAAGCTACACAGAGAAACCCTGTCTCGAAAAACCAAAAAAGAGAGAGAGAGAGA